AAAAAAAAAAAGGCAAACAAAAATTATTGCTCATTAGAAATTGGATTTCTAAATTATATAAACATCTTTCTGATGAACTCCAAGAACACTTCTATATTTTTTAAATGTTTGTGTTGTGCTAAGATTCATTTCTTATTGCTGTTTTAGGTGGAATAGAAACTGGATCTATCACAGAGATGTTTGGAGAATTCCGAACTGGGAAGACTCAGATCTGTCATACACTGGCTGTAACATGCCAGGTGAGTTGTTTGGGCTCTAGTGAATCAAATCAGCAGGAATACAGTTGATTCCTGCTATTTAGAAGCATCTGTTAGGATGGGCATAAAAAGCACTTATCCTCGAATATCCTTCCTACTGCAAAATTCTTCCATATCATAGAAACTTCCAGATCATTGATTTCCAGTACATCTATCTACATCGTTGATTTCAAATACTTTAGTAGGCTTTACCTGCTCTCATTTTTATTAGTTTAGATTTTATGATTCATTGTTAAAGTAATTCCTTTACAAATACCCTCATTTCACATAGGCACTTGAAAAGATGCCAGCCTTGGTGAATCCCATCCATTTTCTTAGTGCCTATACTTAAATAGCTGATTATATTGGAGAAAAATTATACCATAAAACTGACTGACTTCACTTTTAAGTTCAAGATGACTGAGGGCAGTGTTCTGAACATTTAAGAAAAAAAATTTTTTTAAATAAACATCAGGCTTGGCACCCATAGCACAGTGGTTATGGTGCCAGCCGCATACACTGAAGCTGGTGGGTTCAAAACCAGCCCGGCCAGCTAAACAACAATGACAACTGCAACAAAAAAAAATAGCTGGGCGTCATGGCAGGTACCTGTAGTCCCAGCTACTCGGGAGGCGAGGCAAGAGAATCGTTTAAGCCCAAGAGTTTGAGGTTGCTATGAGTTGTGATGCCTCAGCACTCTACTGAGGACGCCATGGTGAGACTGTCTCAAAAAATAAAAATAAAGATGACAAACTTTGGATGAACAGTCAGTATTTCTTGGCAAATCTACTGAGTTTCTTCATTTAGGTATAGCTTCCCACTTAGATATCTAATCCTTTGTCCTCTTTTCTTAAACCATCATGCTTTTCAACCCTTACTTTCAGCCATTGACCTAAACTGTTCTTTTCATCAAATCTATATATCTATCTATATTTATGTTCATTTTTTCTTATCTCAGGTTGCAATGGAGAAAGTGTCCCTTTTCATCTCAAAACCTTTCCTACCAGTGTGATCTGGTTATTATCTCCTTCCACCTTCTCAGGGACTTTATTCCTTCCATTTTCTGTTTTACCTCTCTATTAGATTGTCTTTATCAATATATAAATATGCTTAATGTCTCCTCCATTGGGGAGGAAAAACTTTCCCTAGACCCCTTCAGTTTCTTCTTCCATTATTTACACTCCCATTCATGAGTGGATATGGAAACAGATATAGTAGGTTAAATAATTGCCTAATACATTACATGTAAGTAGTACTACATACTTTTTTTTTAGGAGACAGAGTCTCAAACTTTTGCCCTGGGTAGAGTGCTGTGGCATAACAGCTCACAGCAACCTCAAATTTTTGGGTTTAAGCAATTCTCTTGTCTCAGTCTCCCGAGCACCTGGGACTTCAGGAGACCTCCACAACACCCAGCTATTTTTGTTGTTGTTTCAGTTGTCTTTGTTGTTTTGCTTGCCCAGGCTGGGTTCAAACCTGCCAGCCTCAGTATGTGGCTGGTGCTCTACCCACTGAGCTACGGGCACTGCCATGAAGACTATTAAAACTTCATAAGGGGCTGGGCACTATGGCTTATGCCTGTAGTCCTAGCACTGTAGGAGGCTGAGGCAGGTAGATTGCTTGAGCTCACAAGTTCAAGACCATCCTGTCCAAGAGTGACACCCTGTCTCTAAAACTAGCTGGGTGTTGTGGCAGGTGCCTGTAGTCTTAGCTATTTGGGAGGCTGAGGCAAGAGAATTGCTTGAGCCCAAGAGTTTGGGGTTGCTGTGAGCTGTGAGGCCAGGGCACTGTCTCTCTCTCTCTCTTTCTTTTTTTTTTTGCAATTTTTGGCCCAGGCTGGGTTTGAACCCACCACCTCTGGCATACGGGACCAGTGCCCTACTCTTTTGAGCCACAGGCACCGCCTGTGATGCCAGGGCACTCTCTACCGAGGGCAACAAAATAAGACTGTCTCAAAAACATAAAATAAAATTTACTTAACTGTGCTTTGAACTTCTTTCAAAAATAATCTAATTAATGATCTTTAAAAATTTTGCAGCAGGCCGGTTGTGGTCACTCTGGGAATCTTAGCATTCTGGGAATTAGAGGTAGGTGAGTTGCTTGAGGTTCATGAGTTCCAGACTAGCCTGAGCAAGAGCGAGCCCTTTCTCTAAAAATAGCCTGTAGGCACCTGTAGTCCCAGCTACTAGGGAGGCTGAGTCAAGAAGATCACTTGAGCCCAAGAGTTTCAGGTTGCTGTGAGCTATGATGTCTCGGCACTTTACTGAGGTCAATAAAGTCAAAAAAGAAAAAGAAATATTCTGGTTCTTCATGAATCAAAATTTACCTAGGCTGAGTGTGGAGGCTTACACCTATAATCCTAGCACTTTGGGAGACCAAGGTAGGAAGATCATTTGAATTTGAGACCAGCCTAGATAACATAGTTGAGATCACATCTAAATTGGGAGAGAAAAAAATTGTTTAGACAGAGTCTTGTTCTGTCACCCCAGCTAGAGTGCAATGGTGTCATTATAGCTTGATGCAACCTGGAACTGGGGCTCAAGTGATGCCCCTGCTTGAGTCTCCCAAGTAGTTGAGAATACAGGTACATGCTCCTACACCTGGCTAATTTTTCTATTTTTTATAGAGACATGGTTTCACTCTTGCTCAGGTTAGCCTCGAACTCCTGTGTTTAAGCAGTCATCCCTGCTTGACTTCCCAGAATGCTAGGATTATAGGTATAAGGCAACATACCCAGCGGCCCCCTCAAAAAAATTTTTTTTTAAAGTTTAATATGATGTTTTTCTCTGGAGAAAACAGCAACAACAAAAAAAGTTTAATATTGAATGGCTCAGCTTGATAGTCTCCTGTTTTTCTTATTTTCCTTCCTCACTTGTCATTTTAACTGTTTCTTTCTTTAATTACTCTACTGGTCTTCTTTGCAGACCAAAATGTTACTATATATCTTAAGAGAGAACTGAGTTAGGATTTTACCCTATTTTTGCCTCTCCTAATTAATTCTGAGGAAGAACAAGTTGGGAGGGGGCATTAAGAAGACGAAGGGGGCTCGGTGCCTATAGCTCAACCGCCTAAGGCGCCAGCCACATACACCTAAGGTGGCGGGTTCGAATCCCCAGCCCGGACCCGCCAAACAACAATGACGGCTGCAGCC